GGGAGCAGTTCCTCGGGTGACCTGAAGGTTCCGCGGGGTCTCCCAAGTCAGTCCCTTCAGGCGCGGGGGACGGGAGGGGGAAGGGGGAAAGAAAGTCCCCCCTCCCCAGCCCCCCAACCTCATCATTCCCAAATGGGCTTTGCTACACCTTCTTGGGATTGTTTAGCTCCGGGGCTTGCAGGAAAACAAGACCCTGGCTTTGGGGATTCCCTGGGGCTGAAGAAGGGTCTACCTCTCTCCCGCGTGGACCTGGGACTACGGTTGTCTCCTTCCCACTCTTTCACACTCTTTCTCGCCCCTTTTCCTCCCTGCATCCAAGCTTCCTTCCCTCCTCATTTAAAACATGCTCTCTTCCCCTCCCTTCTTCCTTTTTATTTTTCTTCCCTCTCTCCTTTTCCCTTTTCTTCCTGTCTCTCCCACCCTTCCCTCCTCCCCCCCTTTTCTTGGTCAGAGCACTGTGGTGTCAGATCTGTCCTGAAACTCGCCACTCCCAACTCCTGACTCCAGGGAATCTTAGAACGTGTGCACCTAAGGAGTTGAGCATGGAGAGCAAGGAAGACAGACAAATAAACTAAAGTGTGTCTGCTCTACCTACTGAAATTGGCTGGACCCTTGCACACCGCGTTCACGTAAGACCATGCGATACCTTCTCAAAGTAGTAAAAACACAAGCAAAGCCTTTTTGCACAGACAGTTCCATTATAAAAGCTGCGTGTAGCCGCTCTAAGTACTAGGAGCTCAGAACTGAACCTCCCTATTTATTTATTTATTTATTTATATATTTTTTGCTTCCAGGATTTTTAGTTTAATTATTCAATGTCAAATATATGAGTAGCTTTAACATTGATCCCTTTTCCTCTGAATCACATATAATTACAAAAACACACACACACATACCCTGGGGAATTCATACTGAAATACATCTAGGTTTTCCTGAACTTGCAATTATCTGTTTTTAATATCAAGATGACTTACTGCTTACCATAAGTCCCTTTGCACTAACAAATTTTAACTTTTCATAGTAAAGAAAGCTGAAAGGCAAGGAAAAAAGGTAATTCATAGGCCGGGTGCAATGGCTCAAGCCTGTAATTCCAGCACTTTGGGAGGCCAAGGTGAGAGGATTGCCTGAACCCACGGGTTCCAGACCAGCCCAGGCAACTTGGCGAGGCCTCATCTATACAATAAATAAAAAAATTAACTGGACGTGGTGGCACATGCCCATAGTTCCAGCTACTTGGAAGGCTGAGGCAGAAGGATCACATGAGCCCAGGAGGTAGAGGCTGCAGTGGCCATGAGTTTGTCACTGCACTCCAGACTGGGCAACAGAGTGAGATTCCAACTGGGGGTCACAACTGCCAACTCCTGACTCCAGAGAGGTAATTCGTGCTAGTGAAATAAGTGGGTGCCATAGAGATACATTGCCCAATAAAAGCTAGCCAGTCTTGAGTAATTAAGGTGGAGAAATGAAATGTGTAGACTTCACAAGTACTGGCCACAGCTCTATGTTTTTCTCTGTGCATCTTGCAGACCCCGCTTTGTCCTCACAGCAACCCTAAATTATTGGTGTAATTACCCAAATGAGCATAAGGAGCTTGACTGACATCCTAGAAATCGTCTCAACTAGGATTTGAACCCAGTTCATTTTGACTCCAATGCTGAGATTCTCCTTTTACAGAGAGAACTGATGGGTAAAAAGGGATTTACTCACATTCATTTGGTGAGAAATCTACATCTTCTTGTGCTTATGTCTTATTATTTCTCAGCTAAATTACCAGAATGTTATTTTGGCCTTACATGATCAACAACAAATTAAACTGAGTTAGAAAAATATTTTGCTTCTTCGGGTAGCTAGGTCTTAGTCTCTTCAGGTGGAGCCAAGTACATCAAAAGGTTAATGCATTTCTCCTGATTCACACAACAACTAATTTTGATGGAGTGGTTGGCTTTCCCAATATACTCCAAACATGTGCAGATCAACAGGAAATGCAAATGAAGCTCATGCCTGGCATTAACCTTTCCAGGTTTTGTTCTGTTTTCCTATTTGCACAAAAATTTTAAATAGAAAAAGTTCCTTTGAAAGGTAATCATATACTCTTGCAACTCAGAAATCTTTTTTTAATCTTATTTATTTATTTATTTTAGATTAGAAAATAAAGTTTATTTAGAAAGTAAATTAGAAAGAGAGAAAGAAAAAGGAAATTCATCTCCCCAAAGTAAGGGAGGGGGCCAAAGCTAGAAAACATGACTTGGCCATGGCTCAAAGAGCACATGGCCACTTCATAGCTTAGCACGGCAATGGCCCATATCTCCCCCCTCCCCATATCTTTTTTAAAGGTTAATTTTATATGTCAATGGAATATCTTAATACCAGTAGAATATAAAGTGGTCTTATTTATAGTGCCTCTAAGAAAACTGAAAACATAACTGATTTAAATTTTTTAGATTAAAGGGTCATTAATGAAAACTTTTCAGACTGAATAGTCTTATGTTTCCAGTTGCAGTTTTATTTCAATCTCATTACAAGAGGAAAAAAAAAACAAACAAAAAACTACAGGAAGCCAACTCAAAGATTCATTCTTGGTGAGGTATTAAAAAAAAAAAAGGAATAGATTTAGTTAGAATGTACATTTAAAAAATACCTAGTTAAAGTTATTTTTAGACTTTGACTTTCAGCTGATAGTCAACAGTATGGGTGGATAATTGGTTTCCCAGAGCAAGTCCTTTTTTCTCTCTCTCTTTTTAAAAATTTTTAAAAAATTTTTTGAGATGAGGGCTCCCTAGTTTGACATACTAGCCTTGAAATCCTGAACACTCCTCCCTCCTCAGCTTCCCAGTAGTTGGGGTAACAAGTCTCATTATGTCTTAATCTCATTAAAATTCATTTAAAACTTGAGTTTTTATCAAGTCTGCTAAATCTCTTCCCAGAAGGTTATGCAAGTTTAAGATAATTTATTTTTTAGGGGAACTACTAAAGAACCCCCAGGTACTTAGTTGTAAGTGAACTCAGAAAACTGAGGCTTAAGGAGGTTGTCCAGGATCACAGGAATTGGGGAAAAAGAAGTCTTCCTCACCCCAGAGGCCATATATAAGTTATTAAGAATGGAATGTAAACTGGGAGCAGGGACTTGCACCTATAATCCCAGCAGTTAGGGAGATGAAGACAAGAGGATTTCCTGAGCTCAGGGGTTCGAGACCAGCCTGGGTACCTTGGCGAGACCTCGGCTCTACAATAAGTCAGAAAATTAGCCGAGTGTGGTAGTACGTGCCTGTAATTGCAGTTACTTGGAAGAGAGATGAAGGATCGCCATAGCCCAGCAGGTAGAGGCTGTGGTGGCCATGAGCGTGCCACTGCACTCCAGCCTGGGCAACAAAGTGAGACTCCAACTCAAAAAAATAAAAACAAAAAACAAAGCAAAAAAAATGCTTCTAAACCAGGCTGGGTTACTCACGTCTGTAATCTCAGCCCTTTGGAGGCCAAGGAGAGAGAATTGTCTGAGTCCAGGGGTTCGAGACCAGCCTGGACAACTTGGAGAGCCCTCATCTCTACAATAAATAATTTTTAAAAATTAGCTGGGCATGGTGACATGCACTTATAGTTTCAGCTACTTGGAAGGCTGAGGCAGAAGGATTGCCTAAGCCCAATAGGTCAAGGCTGTGGTGGCTGTGAATGAGATTCCTACTTAAAAAAAGAAAAGAAAAGAAAAGAAAAACTGATTCTGTAGGTAACACAAATACTTGATAAACTATTTTTAAAGTGTTTTTTTAAGATGCAATGGTTAATTTTTAAAGGACAGCCACAAATTTAGATAGGTATGTGAGTGCAGAAGTCAGTGGCTGCCCTGGGGACATCTACATATTTCTCTCTCTCTCTTTCTTTTTTTTTTTGAGTTGGAGTCTCACTCTGGCACCCAGGCTGGAGTGCAGTGGGATGCTCACGGCCACCACAGACTTGACCTGCTGGGCTCAGGTGATCCTTCCACCTCAGCCCTCTGAGTAGCTGGAACTACAGGCACGCGCCACCATGCCTGGCTAATTTTTTGATTTATTGTAGAGATGAGGTCTCCATCACGTTGTCCTCAGCCTCAGCCTCCCAAAGTGCTGGGATTATAGGCGTGAGCCACTGTGCCGGGCCTCATCTGCACGTTTCAAGAGACCTCACCCAACCTAGGTGACCTACAGCAGAAACCCCCCATATAAAATTAAT